GTACTGATTTTCCAATAGAAGATATCTGGTTAAATATACAGTAGCAGAGTCCCTGCTGGTCAAAGCTAGTGAAGCTGTTCTTTTAGCTCAGTGGCAAAGAATGCACACAATATAGTACATGAGAGGCTCAGGACTTGAAATATACTCCTGCCAATTGCTTTTTACTTTGAAGATTTTCTAAATCAATGATTAGCTATCTGCACTGAGAAGGGTATGGAATAGCCTCAAGATGTATATGCAGTCCTTATGTAAAAAATAAGCACAGCTCATATGGCATATTGCTGTTCTCTATTTTAGAACTAGCACAGGAACCATGTGATGTGTTCATTGCTATGGTAACTACATTTCAGTAGTGAACAGGAGAGCAAACGGGCATGTAAAACATGTATAGTTGTCAATATGTAAGTAATTGCTGTCCTGGAGCTGCAGAAACTTAAATTTCCTTGTTGCCTGGACTTAGTAGAATAAAATTCTATGCCTTCTATTTTTTTAAAATGAGGTTTAATAAATCTTCACTCCACATAATGCCTTCTCCATTCAAGACAACAAATGAATAGTGTCTTTCATCCCAGGGTCTCAGTTACTTCATAGAGCAGCGATTTTCAACCTGTGTGCCGCAAGAATTTTTAAAACATGCAATACCTGACTATTTAATCAGGGGCACGGACCTCTTTTCCCTTAGGTTGTCAAATAAAAAAAAAATGACAACAGTCAACACAACAACTGCTGTCCAGTGTGAATAAATAAAAATTGTACCTACTTTTTGTCAGATTGGGAAAAAAAAACATGTTCTGGTGTGTCGCAGAATTTTAGAAACTAGTTTGTGTGTGCCATGAGATAAAAAAAGATTGAAAATAACTTTCATAGAAAATAACAATAATCTATATCTACACTAATAAAAGAGAAACATGGTAATTAGCGTACGACCGCTACCCTTCCCATTGGCTAATCAGCATATCCTTATGCAAATTAACTGTCAGCCAAGATGGCGACCGGCAGCCATGCACTGAAGCGAGCAGG